GCTCAGTGAGCATGCTCCCAGTCATAAAGTTTGACTTGTCAGACACACTCCCAGAGCACGGCACCCGGAGCGTCTGCCCAGAAATCTGCCTTGGCCCTCTCTGTCAAGTCCGTGTTCCTGCCGCGGGGCTGTAAAAGGAGACAGCCTTGTTGTTCATTTTGATGTCAGCCTCAAAGGACAGAGGCTGCCTGGAGGCTCCTTCAGTTTCCCTTAACCGGCCATCACGCCCGTCACTGATGAATTTCTCATAATGGTTTTGGAAGCTACTCGTTTTCCCTCCTTGGCCACTCCTTAAGACAGAAGGGGCTCCATTTATTTCCCACGCGTGTACCTTCCGCAAGCTTCAGGGACCCCCCGGTCCTGCAAGGCTACACCAAGCTGTGCTCGTGCCGCGGTGGTGCCGGGAAGATCCGTGTGGGAGGGCCAGCTCAGGCATGCATTAGCTCTGGACCGTGAGCATAGGTCTTAAGCTCTTCCTGGGCCACAGCTTTCTCATCTGTAGAATGGGTAGAAGAAGAATAGTATCTATTTCACTGGGTTGTTGGGCGGACTGAGTGCAATAAAATACGTAAAGTACTTTGCATAGTGCCAGGCACAGAGTAAATGCTCAATAAATGAATTATTTGTCCTAACAAGGTCTTGAGTGGAGGTGGAACAGGCCAGCCTTCAGAAGAACGGGATCCCCAAAGCTGGCAAAGCGCCAGGTTGAGGGAAGGCTGCAGCCTCGACATAGGGCCACAGGCGGGACTGTAGGCACACTGGGAGCCCCAAGGCAGGACTGGTCCCTTTAGTCTGGGGCAAGTTTTCTCACCCGCAGCGGAATTGACATTCTTTGCTGTAGGAAGCTGCAGGAGACCAGAAGCAGATTGTTGTAACAATCACAAATGTCTCCAGATATGTCCAACTACCCCCCTGGGGTGCAAAACTGCCCCCCCGCTGGAGAAACCCTGCTCCAGCTGGCACGGCATGACCAGCAGGGGTCAGGACCAGGACCTCAGCTGCTGGGAGCACAGCAGTCCCGCAGGATCAGATCACGGCTCATAGGACGTTGAACCTGGGCTCACCCTGTGGCTCTTGGCTTCCCCATCCAGGACCAGGACTGGACCCAGGGTCTGGGCGGGGCCAAACCCTCCGGAAAGGGGGAGGGGGCTTACCCGCCCACACGAGAAAGGTGTGGGGCTGAGGGCCGGGCTGTGCTACCCCTGATGACTTTCATGACCACTGGCTGGAGAGCACAGGCTTCTGGCTAAGAGAGACCTGGTTCAAATCTAGGCTCTGCTGGACAGAAATTAAACCTAACACACACACACACACACACACACACACACACACACCCCAGACACCGCAAGGAGACCACCTTAGGCACCACAGCAGGCACTCAGTAAATGTTGTCGACTGATTAAATGAATGGATCCTGTGGCAAACCTCTGTCCTGAAATCCTTGTGTTCATTTTCTCTTGTCTGGAATTTTGCCAGCTTTCTAACACAGGAAACTGTTGACTTCTCAAGGGGAGGAAATGAGTGATTCATCTCCATATCACTAGAGCTTAGCCTGGGGCCTGGTGGATATTAGGTGCTTAGCTAATGAAGTTTTCCTTCCTCCAAGGGTGATGACTATGCCTTCTCTTTCTGGACAGAGCCACAGCCCGACACAGCAAATGACACATGGCAGGCAACTGTCAAATGTTTGTTGAATGAATGAATGAATGAATGAATGAATATACAAAAAATGGTTGAAGAAAGGCATGACCTAGAACACTACCCCAGGATTCTTCTTAGAAGTTCATTGCTACAGGTCCATTCGAGAGGAGCATTGCTGTTTACTTGAAGTAGGTCAGCCATACCCTGGAGAGGACAGCAGTGTCTTCACAGAGGTGGTGGGTGACAGAAATCAGGCGGGAGGAGGAGGGTCTCTGCCGTGGACCTACCCTGGGAACCTCACCACAGGCTGCTGGGCTCACCCCAGGACCTTGGCACAATCTTCATAATCCTCCCTGCTGCAAAAGGCCCAGGGATGGAGTCAGGTGATTTCCCCCTCCCTCCGGCTATGGTAGTGTGAGCGTGGGATTTATTAGGAAGACCCCTGGCTGGGGAGTCAGGAGACCTGGGTTCTGGCCCCATCCCCATCATCTACCCACACAGTGACTGCCCGGTCACTACCCTCCCTGGGCCTCTGTTTTCCCATCTGTACAATGAGGACTTGGGGTTGCCTTGGGGTGACCCTGTCCTCTGGTGCCTGGGCCGTGGAACAGGTCAGTCGGCATCGGTGTTACTGAGGAATGGCCAAGCGGCCACCTGGGAGGCCCATCTATAACCGCAAGGCACTGCTGGATCTCGCAAAGCCGTAGGCTCCCAAGCCACCTTCTGACTGCTGGGCACCGAATGGAGCACTCGCGGAAGCTGCTGCTCTGAAATCCAGTGCTGGTGGGGGCAGGGCCGCAGTGAGGTTTTCCCAGGGCCTGAAGAGTTCAGGGGAAACACTTAAGGATCGTCACTGACCGGAGAAACATGTCATTTTTATACAACTCCCCTAACGTCTTTCCCTTCCTAAGGTACAGAATCGAGTGACAAACCTGGGTTCTTCCCATTCCTGAAGCCTCGGGTGGGGGAGTGGTGGGCCTGGAAGAGATTGACCCAGCCAGCTTCCCTTGCATAAGAAAAAGGAGCCCAAAACAGAGAGATGGGAGGATCTAAAGAGGGGAGACAGAGGCTGAAAAAAAGCTGGGCATGCGGCTGAGGGAGAGGTGTGGAGAGGGGCACTGTAGTGAAGGGCCTGGGTGGAGTAGCTCTGACTTGCTGTGACTCAGTTTCTTTATCTGCCAAGTGGGGGTAATAGAACCTTCTCCATAATGGGGAACACTTAGAATTGTGCCTGGCACCGAGGGAGGACCATAGAGGCGTGTGCCGTGATGATGGCAGTGAGGATGATATAAAAACTCCTGGGGTGCCTGGGTGGCTCAGTCGGTTGAGCGTCCGGCTTCTGCTCAGGTCACAATCTCACGGTTTGTGAGTTCGAGCCCCGCTTCGGGCTCTGTGCTGACAGCTCAGAGTCTGGAGCCTGCTTTGAATTCTGTGTCTCCCTCTCTCTCTCTCTGCTCCTCCCCGCTTGTGCTCTGTCTCTCTCTCTCCTTCAAAAATAAATAAAAACACTAAAAAAAAAAAAAAAATTTTTTTTAAATAAATAAAAATTCCTGAAATCTTTTCTTTTTTAATTTTTTTTTTAATGTTTGCTTATTTTGGGGAGAGAGAGAGAGACACACAGAGTGTGAGCAGGGAGGGGCAGAGAGAGGGAGACACAGAATCCAAAGCAGGCTCCACGTGCTGAGCTGTCAGCACAGGGCCCGACGCGGGGCTCAGACTCATGAACCGCGAGATCATGACCTGAGCCAAAGTCAGACACTTAACTGACTGAGCCACCCAGGCGCCCCCAAAACTCACGGAATCTTTAATAGAATTTCTATCGCTCCGGGGTGGACCCAACGAATGGCTCTCCCGGGAGCTGGCTGAGTGCCAGCCTCATCGGGCCCGCCTCATGGGGCATACACATGCAGCAGAAAGCCTGCTAGCAGCGGGCTGGGCCTTCGCCGGAGCCTGCAGCGCTGGGAGCTGGGGCCCTGTCAGGCCCGGAGGGTGCGGGGCATCTGCCCTCCATGTGGCTAAACCATCCCCAAATGGCCGTGTACTGAACTTTGTCACCAGCCTGCTTCTCATGAGAATGCTTCCCCCAGCCGGGAGGCACGGACTTTCCAGCTGGGCTGGCCTCTCTGGCAAACTGCACTCAGCGGATATTTTCAGATTCTGGGTGACATTCCCCTGCCCCTCTGCCTAATAGGTCCCAGACGCTCCCCTCCTCCCTCAACCTCCCTCCCTCTCGCTGTTCTCAACCACCCCGGCCTGCCTTGGGCCTCTCCGCCCGGTCACTACTCCTCTTGACTTATTATTTTCCTAATTTAAAACGTTTTGTTCCCCCTTAACGGGATGGCTTGACAGGGGCCAGCATGAAAGAGGCTGTATCCTCCTGGCCGGACGGAGAGGCAGGCAGATGAAGGCAGAGAGAAGGAAGCCGGCTTTGGGAATGTGAGGAGCAAGGGGAAACTTAAGGAGTCTTTCTTGGCCGAGCATAAAAGACGCAACAGAGTAGCAGCTGTGTTAACGTGGCCAGGTCGCTAGGGGCCCGGCGGACACACCAGGCCCAGCTGCGGATCCCACCGGCCCTGGGGGTCTCATGACTCATGTTCGGCAGACATGCTTTTAGCTCCCTAACTTGCTGCTGCCTCTTCCCCACCTTTCCTCCGCACCCATCCTGCCCCCTCTGTGAATTTGCAATTCTTGGCTGGCATGGGCTATTGCTGAGGCGGGAGGAGGGGGGCCGGACAGGAGAAGGAGACAAGAGATAAGTGCAGAGGGAGGGAGATCCCTGGGCACAGGAGGGCGGGGAGGAGGAGGGAGCGGGCAGCAGACCCAGGAGGGTAGAAACGCCTGACTCACCCGCTTAACAGAAACCAGGCCAGAGAGACATCAGGCAGGGAACCTAGTGAGAAATGTCGTTCGCCCCTGCTGCTTCCTGCTTGTTTTCCCTTGCATTTCGTGGGAGCGTGGAGAGGACAAGGAGCCTGCTAATAACCATCATCTCCTGAGGTTCTGTCGCACAGCTGGCCTTTGGCCGTGTTGCCTTGGTGCCCACGGCCCTGTGTCCTGGAAAGCAGCCGCGTACCCAGGTTGGGGTGGGAAGCGAGAGGGGACTATTCTCGGGAAGTTAGGGCCCCAGCCGGGCTGCGCCTGGGGCCCAGACCTCTGGATTTCTCATCCAATAATGCAAATATGGAGATGAAATAAAGGGGGAAGAGATTATATCGGTGAAAGTGGGCCAGGAAAATACAAACTCCAAAGACCAGATGGAATCCCCTCGGCCGAAGAATTTTTGGATGCTGCTTCTAAGGCGGCTCTGCCTGTCCTTCCAGCAGTGACACTGACCCTGGCCTTTTCTCTGTCTCTTTCAGGACCTCCTGTAAGTAACTCCAGCCGCCGCCCGGTCTTGCACATCTGAAAGGCCCTGCTCCCTGCTGGTAACCCGGGCCCCGGGTGGGGGAACCGACAGCCGGCCCCACTCTCTTCCAGGGGCACCCCTGGACCTTCCTCTGCAGAAGCCTGCGGGGTCCCTCCAGAATGTTGACACAGGGAAGGAGGCCGCCATTTTGCCTTCCAACCACTTCTGCACCTCTCAGGGCGAGACAATGGCGGCTCCGGGGGCAAAGTAGGTCCCAATTTCAATCTGAAAGGCTGGCTTGCCCCATTGTCAGCCCAGCTCCTTTGTCCCCAGAAGAAGCAACTGGACTCAAAGAAGCTCCGGGTATTAGCAAGAAGAAAGAGATAATCTCTTCTCAGTTCTGGTCCTTGAAAGGTCTCCTGGCCTTTCGGTAAACAGGCCAGCGCGTGGCTCTGAGCGTGGACTTCTCCTGAGGACGTGCTGTCCACGCTGCTGGTGGTGGTGTTTTGATGTAGGGGATCAATTTCAGTGGGCTGGGTTGGGAGACAATACCAGTTCCAGCTTGTCAGGCTTCTTCCCCTGGCGTCGCCCTAAGGCCCAGGGCGGGGCAAGGGAGCCCAGTCATTTCCAGAGAACCTGAGAAGAGCCCAAAGAGACTGGCTCCCCGAAGTAATGGATCCAGAGAATAGGGGCACGTCTGCTTTGAGGGCAGCATCTGATACCTGGACAAAAGGCCCAGAGGTTGCCGGGGGCGCTGGGGATTGGAGTGGAAAGGGCGGAGCCCTCACATCAGATCTTTATCAGGGTTCCCGAAAGCTGCTCTATGCTCACCCTACCTCAGAGCAGCCACTGCCACACCGGTTTCCCTCTCGGTCTGTCCTGCGAGAGCAGCCGGCCCGATTTGCCGTAAGACCATTATTTGCTATTCCGTCGGGTCCCGAAAGGCACATTGAACCCGTGCTGACGGCCCTGCCCCGCTCTCTGACTGCCGGGTTACAGAGGGAGGAAAATCGTGTCAGTCTCTGAAAGCAGGGGGATGATTTATCGTGGCATGTTTTAGATGTCAGATCTCAATTCCTGTCATCAATCTTCCAAAATAAACTCCACCATAGGAAACTTCAACAGACCACCTGCTGGAAATGGGCTGCTTTCCCCCCTCTTCTTTTTGACGAAGCCAAAAAGAGTCCTCACTTCCCCCACTCCTCGGGCCTCCCCACCCCGCACCGTTCCCAGCCAGAGCAGGTGCTCCCACCCCCGGGGGGTCTGCACAGCGTCTGTGTGTGTCTTACACCTTCACTCAACTCTGGTTGAAACCACAAGGAGGAAATGGGAAGCTGGCCAGGGTGGGAATCGCCTCCTAGCCCTGTTCTGTCTGCTTCCTGCAAAGGAAGAATCCTGTTGAGGAAGGCAAGAGATAGGGAGATAGATGGCAGCTGGTCACAAACCTGTCCCCACCCTCTGAGTGTCTCTTTGGAACCCCTCCTGGGGTCGCTCTGGACTCCAGTTGGAAGACCCAGGCTCCTGTGGGCACGGGATGGCCAGTGCCCGGAGAACACAACCACGGAGGATGGATTTAAGTAGCAGCACGAGTCACTTAATTGGTAGAAACCTTGTAGTTACCGCTACTCCACTCTTTGTGTCCATGGCAGACATTGCTAATCAATCAGGAGGCTTCTTAACATAATGCTTGACTCAGTCACTACCAATCCACTGGAGTCTGCACTCAAGCTGACACCTGCTGGCCATGCCTGCTGTGGATTTCAGAGAGAACTTCTTAATGGAGACTGTGAGATCGAAACAGATGACAGAGGGAAGTAGGGAGGTGTCTTTCTCCAGAGAAATACAGGGAAATATGTGATGGCCAGCTGCTACCCGGACTGAAGGTGATCCTTGCTGAAATACTAGCTAACACTTAGTACACGTTTGTAAGGAGGCAGCCTAATATAGTGATTACAAGCATGAACTGTGGCACCAGACTGCCTGGGTCCAAATCCTGGCTCTTCTAATCGTGTAACCTCGGGCAAGCTGCTTCACCTCTCTGTGCATTGCTTTCCCCATCTGTAAAATGGGGATAGTAATAGTATGTGACTCCTCTAGGAATTGTGAGGAATATATATGTAATTGTACGCGCGCGCGCGTGTGTGTGTGTGTGTGTGTGTGTGTATTTTCTTCCAGTTAGAACATATTAACGCATGTAAATCCTTGGTGATCCACAAAGATTCCAAGAAGCTGTTAATTTTAAGGGGGAAATGATTATTCTGTGAGCTTTCATTAATTTATTTATTATTTCATACATTTCCACCCACCTTATTCGAAAAACTATTTCAGGGTGATTTACAAACTGGACACGGAAACAGTGGAGGAGGGTGGAGAGCAGAGGCAGGAAAGCAAAAGGATCCAGAGCCTGGATCCACAATACCACAATACCCTGGGCAGGACGAGCCGCTGACTTGGCTTCGGGCTTCCTGGTGCTCAGAGCAAAGAGGAAAGCAGGGTTGTTGAAGGCACACGAGTGAAACACAGCTTTTCCTGGTACTGAGACCCAAGAGAAGTCCCTTCCGTGTGCAAACGAGGTAGGAGGAGTAGGTAGTTGGGACACAGGAGCGGTAGGTGAAAGTGGTAGGTCCCTTCTGTCCCTGTTTGGGGTAGATCGTGAGGTTGGAAACCGTCGGCCCATTCCCTCCCCTGGGGTGTGAGGCGGCGACTGCCCGGCTTCTTGTGACATCAGGCCCAGGCAGTGCAGAAGTGACAGGAAGAGGGTATGGGCTCAGGGCTAAAAGCCCTGGGGTGAGGAGGACATTTGGCCGCTGAGCTGTGTTTGTGGGGGGCCCGGGAAAGAAGGAGGTGGAGTTCCCAGGTTTGGAGCATCGCCCGCAGGTTCATTCATCCACCAAGAACTCGGCACTCCTCGAGGCACTAGAGACACATCCATGAACAACACAGAAAAATCCCAGCCTCGGGAGCTTATGTTTTGTGCCGTGGGGGCAAAATCAAGCTCAGTGAACACATGGGGACAGGCCCTGCGCCCGTGCGTGCCATTACCCAGCATTCCCCAGGGACTCCCTGACTGGGCCCCACCTTGGTTCTCTAGGAGGGAGTCACTGCCCCACCGCCTCTGGGATGTCCTCAGGAGCAAGGGCCGGAGCAGGTGACTTACTCCCAGTGCTGCCTGGGTTTGTCCGAGCCCTGAAGCAGAAGGATTTGTCTTCCAGTGAGCACCCTGAGACCCACCCCTGGTCATGCTTTGGGTTTTGCGTGAAGAGCAGGATGTCTAGAAGGAGAGAACCCACATCTGGTAGCTAAGTCTCAGCAGGGAGAAACCGAAGCCAGCTCCACGTACTCCTGCCCGTGCTCTTCTCTAATTGTCGTAATCGCCAGCATTTATTTAGCACTGTTGTGTGCCGGCCCCTGTGCTATACATACATTATCTCATTTAATCCTAAGAAGTAGCTATAATTGTTCTCCCATTTACAAGGTGAGGAAACTGAGACCCAGGGAGGCCCGGCAGCTCGCTTATGGCACCGCCCGCGACGTGGCAGAACCGAGATTTGAGCACAGACAGGCTGACCCCGGAACCCATGTTTGTGACTCAGTCCTATTGTCTCTGTTACCGTCTCTCCTGGACTCCGTGTCCCAACCATGCCAGGGCCGCCTTTCAGTTCCAGAAGCCCTCTCCAGGTGTTTCCTTCCCTTTACAAGGTGCTACGTGATGCCCCGAGACAGCTACTTGAGCAGTTTCTCTGCCACCTTCTTGTAGCAGACCCATCTGGAAGCTGAGTGCCAGAACAAAAAAGACATGATTTTCTTGGAATTTGCTTCGTTCCTAAGCTCTGCATATTGCTACTATGGCAATTATTAGCACGAATATACATGTTGTCGAATGTCTCCCGCTTTTCAGTGGGATTTCGGATCTATTACATGAGCCTTTAGTCTATGCCCCGAATTGTGCTAGACAGGAGCACTAGGAAAATAGGAATAAAGAGTTTGAGAAGGACACCGATGTGGTCCGTGAGGACAGGCTCCTGGAGCCACACGGGGTCCCGTGTATGAGGGGGACCAGGTTCCTGCCTCATGCCCTGCCCCGGCTCATCATGGAGAGGTCTGATGCTGGTTGGAGGCATCAGAGGAAGGAAGTCCTGCCTCCTCCGCCATCCCAACAGAGGGGAAGAGGCCCCCCAGGGTGCCGCCCCTCTCCCACCCCCTCGCTCCCTGGCCATGCTCCCTGGAGCCGGAAGATGCATCTCCTGGTGGACCGGCTTCGTCGGAGCAGGCATCTGACTTCTTCTGTGTGGTAGAACGGGGAAGAACGAGCCCCGACCCCCTCGGGCCCTTTCCCAGGCCAGAGCCGGCACGCAGGCCTGGCCGACAGCATATCGCACTGACTGAGACCAAAAGGCTCAAAGGAAGGGGATGTGGTGGTGAGGCCCACAGCCTTAATGATCCTTGAGTGATGAGAGGCAGAGACACGGGAGGTGACATTCGTGTCTTTCTTTTCCTTGCACCTACCCTGGGCCTGGAGGAGACCTCTATGAATGAGTGAATGAATGAATGAATGAATACGAGAACTGAAAGGAAGCTCAGTAATCAAGGCCCTACCTTCATTTTGTTCATAAAATAACAGAGGTTCCTAGAGCACGAGTGACGTCAAGGTCACACAGCTGGCTGGGCAGGGTGGAATGCTTAGGTATTACTATCCCTTGACCTTTGGAAACCTCACTCTTTCCCGCTTTATTTCAGGGTCCCGCTGGAAGACCCGGCCTCCCAGTAAGTAGTTTGCATTTCTTCCTTCCTTTGTGTCTCTCTCGCCTGCTCTCCTCCACTAAGGGCTGGCTAGGTTGGGTGGCTGCTTTCCTCCAGGCGTATCTGGGTGAGAGGCCTCTGTCCAGTACCTCTAACCTCGAAAACTTCTCCTGGGGCCCCAAGCAGGCAGATGACAGCATGAAGGCCCTTCTAAGGCTGGACCCGACCTCTAGACTGAAGGCCCGCTAAGGGGGTGCTGGAAGGGGAGGCAGCTCACTGGCCTTCCTGGGTATCCTGCATACCAGCTTAGCTTAAGACCGCTGTCTCTCCTTTGTCCTGTGACCTCTGGTAAGAGTAGACTCAAAAACTTTGTTTCCTCTCCCCGCCAGTTACCATTTCTGAATGCTAGAGAGGTTGTGCCAAGGAACCCTGGGGACTTTGGAATAAAAGGGGAAGAAATACTAATAGCCCTCTCTTGCTGAGATCCTAATACATGCCAGGCACTATGCTAATCACTCTTCATATATTTGATTCGGTCAACGACTCAGTGAAATGGCTATTAGTATACCCATTTTATAGCTGAGGAAACTGAGACCCAGAGAGGTAAAATACCTTGTCCAGTTGTCCAAGCTTCAGTGGAGACCTGTGGGGGGGGGGGGGCCATGTTATCACACACCATTTCACACCTGTTTCCCGTAGCCTCTGCTTGACGTTTGAGAACAATCTTTGAAGTCTTCACAGACATTGCTCCGCGCCATGTAGCCTGGGGCAGAGATGCGTTGAGTACTAGATATCATGGGGCCTCAGATGTCTGGTGAGTCAGGCAAGATGCTGGAGCCAGGCAGAGGGCCAAGGTGGGGTATGGAGGGTGAGCGAGGGCTGGCACCGGGCTGCCCTCTCTCCCTTGTGCCAGGGGCCGCATCCGTTGGAGTCCAGACCCTCCTGTGCATCCCAGTTTCTCCTCTTTTAGACATGAATTATGCTGTAGCCTCTTGATAATCTAGCAGCTTCTAGGATTCATGTCCAGCAGTGACTTTCTTAATGAAATGCATGTGGGAGAGTGTTCGGCCTTGAAAATGGAAACTCTCCCAGTTAAGTGTGAGCCCCGGAGCAAAGAAGGACGGGTCAGGCGGTCCCATGAAACCCAAGGAGGGGAAAAATCAGATGACTGGGGAGAACGTGGGCAGACTTTGTTTTTTCTGACAACTTCCACCTTTAAAAAGCATCTGGGGGCAGTTCACAGAGCAGGGGCTGCTTCACAGAGTTCCCAGTCTCTGGCCCTTCCATGCCTGTCCCTAACCCGAGCATTTTATGGCCAGGACTGCAAAGAACATTAGTTTTAAAAAAAGAAACAAAAAGAAACCAGTACACACGTCCTGCAATATCACTCAAAAGCCCAAGAGTGAGTGGGCCGTGGGGGGTGGCACAGCCAGTGTCCAGCAGGCCCTGGTGTCCTCAGCAGGAAGGGCGGGCCACTCGTCCACGGAGGGAACCTGGGAACGACCCACGAAAAGATTTGCTGCTCCCAGCCCCTTGTCAAATGCAAAGAGTGTGATGTACCGACACGCTTATAAAATTCCCTTGCCCGCGGCCATGCTGGGCTCACCAGCTGTAGACTCCGTTTATGCGACACTCACCAGGTGCCACGTCCTGGGAGAAGGCTTTCCCGGGACCCCATTTCATGGCGTCCTCCCAGCAGCCCCCTGAGAGAGAGACACGGGTGCTCAAGGAGGCTACAAAAACAGATCCAGGCTTATAACCAACACTGCTGCCCCACATGTCTTGCAAAGGGTGAAAGTTTTACCGGAGACCCCGTTGGCCTGTGTGTGTGACAAGGACCTGACTTCAGAGCCGCATGCTGTTCTCTGTGCGTCCACACACATCTTGAGACGCTAGCTGTCCCTCAAGGCATTTTGCCTCGGTGGGGTCAGCAGATGCAGAATCACCCCAGAAATGCCCACCCCCTTCAAGGAAGCCGCAAGCCCAGCTGTCTCCTGCCTAGGAAGCCGGGGCAGACACCATCTAATTTTTGGCCCCCGTTGCTTTCCGTCCTTCCGGACTCGTAGCAAACCGCAGGCCCCGCCCCAGATTTCATGATGTCTTCACACATGCGACTGCAAAACAATATTTTCTAGCAAGAAGGAGAGGAACAAAACTTACTAAGCAGATTTCCAGAGTGAGAAGATGTAACCCCTGGCTACAAAACACAGTGGTTCCCTCCGAGCAGCTCACATCTGTGATGCAGGCACATCCCCATGGCTCACCGTCCTTCACGTCCCTGCTGGGGGTGCAGGAAGGGCATGGAGAAGGGCTCCCTCGTAACCTTCTCAGAGCGCCTGGGGAGGAGCCGGGGGACATGGGCACTGCGCCCCAGCTCTAGCACAGATAAACCACTCACCTGTCACGTGGGGCCACCACTTACCCTACTCTGGGCCTTGGAGTTGAACTGATCAAGGATATGGCCCATCCTGGCCATAGCTGGAAGAGATTGTGACAGCAGAAGTCTAAGAGAGGAAGGGCCTTAGACCCCTTATGAAACACATAGGGAAACGGAGGCTCAGGCCAGGGACCAGACTCCTGCATTAGTGCACTTTCCACAGCACCGTGCCCGATGGGGTGACTGCTTGCCCAACAGTCCTTGGGGGCTGAATGGGCAACTTCACCCACATGACCCCTGGCCATCATCCCAGTTGCCTACGTAAAGCAGGTCTGGGGTGCACAGCTGGCCCACGGGGTCCTTTATATGCTGGCCCGGCTCCAGCCACATCTAATCGTTTCTGCCTCCTTTGTCAGGGGGACAAAGGTGCCATTGGGATTCCTGGACGTGTGGTGAGTTGGCGCATTCGTACCTGCTTGGGTGGCCATTGCTTGCTTCTTCGTGGTGGCCTGTCCTCCAAACCATGGCAGTGTCCCCAGCCCCAAGGAGGGGGTCAGGCCTCTGTCTCCCCCTACCCAGGCCTGCTTCAGAGAGGGACAGCAGGGAAGAAGGGAAGAAGAAGTTTTATTCCAGTCCTTCAGACCTTGCAGTCTGACTTTCCTGAGGGCCCCCAGGGCAAAGGAAACACCCAAGAAATTGCACCGATCGAGTTCTTGGTCCATCGCCTCCTGGGTGACAGGATGAGGCCCAAGCCCCTCTTGACATCAGGAGGACTCCCACCCACGCCAACCCCCACCCCCAAGGCTCCCCAGAGGCTCCACACCCCCCAGCAAGAGCAGCAGAAAATGGTGAGAAACGCGGCCCGAGATGCCCCATGGAAGCCGCTGTGGAGCTGGCTTCCTGAGGCGCCTCCCCTAGACAGAGACTAGAAGCTGGCGGGGACAAGTGTCTCCAAATCCTCACAGGGAAGCTGGGAGTTAAACGCTGAATGTTTCCTGCTGAAACCTTAGGTGAAGAAAGGGGAACAAGAATGTCCAGCAGGGAAGGTATGGAGCTGAGGAATGGGAAGGCCGGCACTAGGCCGCGGGTCCCAGCACCAGGGCCATCCCTTCTGGCTTCTAGAGGCCAGGAAGGGCAGCTGAGGCACCGCGGGCGGCCCAACGTAGTGATGCCCACATGCTGGCCTCACCGCCACCCAACGGGTCTAGAACATACGTGCCCAAGCTACTCTCCCGGTCTACCCCCGACTCCCCACCGGCCATCAGCCCCGACGTCCACCCTGGCTCCCCCGTGCCCCCTGACTACCCCCACGCCATCCTTCCGCGCCACTCACATGCCTTGCCTCATCATAACCTCACCTCCTCACCGGCCTGGCCTGAGGCCTCGGCGTGGCCTACTTGTGCCTGGCGTGAGCTCAGAGAAAAGGCGGCCACGTCACAGCTAACACCCGAGAGCGCTCACTGCGTGCTGGGCGTTGATGTGCTGAGAGCCTCACCGCATTAGCGGGCCCCACAGGCGCTGCCTGAGGCAGGCGCGGTTTCCACCCCCATTTTTCAGATGAGAAAATCAAGGCTCAGATGTTAAGTGTCTTTCGCAAGCTCCCGCCCGGCCCTGTCCCTCTGCTTCAGTTGTCTACCTCCAAACCCTGCCCCCCCCCCCGCCCCCCTCCGAGCTGTCACCGAGGCAGGGAAGGAACAGCCAGCCAGCCTTTCTCCGGAGCTCGCCGTGCGTGGGCCTGGGCCGGCACGTTCTCCACCATAGCCCTGCAAGAACCCGTTCTATTGATAAGCATGTTGAGTCTCGGTTTGCCCAGGATCGGGGAGGAGCTGGGGTTTGTACCCAAGCTGACTGTCAGATGCCACAATCCTCGCTCCTAACAGGCAGGTTTCAGGGGTCTCTAAGCCGAGTGCCCCTGCCAGCCTGCAGGGGGCGACTGCAAAACGCAAAGTCCTGCCCTGCTTCTGCCCTCCTCCTTGGGCCCTTGTGGACACGTGCCCCCAGGAAGTGTCCATCCGAGCCTAGTTCTGATCCTCCGTGGTGGGGGCAGAAGGGCGGGCCCCAGGAGGTCTCCCCATTTCTTTCTGCACAAGGCTATTTTCCAAGCCAGTTGGGGGCTTTCTTGCCACCTGCGCTACTTAAATGTGACAGTGGACCCATTTGGCTGCCCAGCAGGCGTCCTAACCTGAGCCACCTGATAAGGACAGTGGGGGGGGGGGGGGGCGGCGGCCAGTGGGTGTGAAATGCTTGAGCCGCTCCCAGGGTTCCACAGAGCTGGCGTCACTGGCTTCAGTGGATTGGAGCTGCCTACCTGCCAGTCACTTGATTCCCCAGTTTCCTCTGCCTCCCGGACCCATCCCCCATCCACCCTGATGTTTATGTCCTACTGTCTGTCCTCCTCCTCCCACCGTCTTACCTGGCCGGCCCTGAGGACTCTCAGTGTGTCTAAGCTTGGCAAAACTTTGTGCTTCGTACTCGGTTGGACCTTCAAACCAACTAAACTCCGGCTCACAGCAGTCTGCCTCCTGCCTATCCCCCCCCCCCCCCCACCTCAAGTGACCCAGGCCCTGGGGACATGGCTTCTCAGGCAGATTTTCTGACCTAGGTGGGTTTCTCTCTCTCTCTCTCTCTCTCTCTCACACACACACACACACACACACACACACACACACACACTCTGAGAGGGCCTTAATTTTAAGGCCCCGGCCACTGTTTCTCTCGGTTATCCAGAACGGCTGGCTGGGGCCAGGCCCGGGGGTAAGGCAGTAGCCGTCCAGGTGCTGTGCCTGTTGGACGCGGAACCTGTCATGTGTCAGCATCTGTGTTTTGTTTTGTTTCTTATTTCACAGTGATTTCTTTTGTTTGGTCGTTGTGCCGTTAACACAGATTCTTGTGTGTGTGCCTCTCTCTTATCCTTTCTTTTTTCTCTCCCCGCCTCTCTCTTCCCTACACCCTGTGTTGCATGTGGCTGCCCCAGGGAGTAAAGGGCCAACCAGGCGAGAAGGTGAGTCCTCACTTTCCCCTCCATCCTTCCGCCCCAGTCTCTTCCCCTTGGACTTTCCGGGGGTGTTTTCCGAGGCCCCCATCTCAGCCCTTCCCGTCCCCCAGCATGCAGGCCGCAGCACTCTGCTCTCACAGACTCTCCCGGCCCAGCTTCCAGGCCACTGACTCCTGGCTTAGGCCTCAGCTTCCGGGCTGAGCCGGTCTCCCTAGCCACCGAGGCTGCCTGTGGCCTCGTACTCACCCTTCCCAGAGGGAGGGGAGCACCGATCGATCGCTGTTTGGCGCAGCTCGTTCTAGTCCCTCCCCAGCCCACTCCTAGTGCCCTCACACGTAGAAATTCTTTGTGCTGCCCCAGGGGGAGCCCCCCCCCCGGGGTTGTAGAGTAGAGCCCCCTCGGAAGCCAGGAGCCCAAGAGACCGTCCTGGAGCATTAGCCCTGGTGGATCCTGAGGGGGTCAGAGAGCAGCACATCCAACCAGTTCGCTTTACAGAGAAGGAAACTGAGGCCCAGAGAAGGGCTAGGGCTTGCCCAAGGTCACACAGCAGAAAGTGACAGGGCTGGAGAGGAGTGCCGGCATGTCTGACTCCAGCGCTGGGCTGCCTAACTATTGTGCTGTGCCGTCCTCTGCCTTTCTGCCAGAGCAAAGACCCGGAAGGGGGGCCCTGGGCATCTCTTCCACCGGAAGGGGTGGTTCCTGGTGGGAAGCAGCAGCCGCCCTCCTCCCAGCAGGGCATCACCTCTCACCCCCATCTGTGTCCCACGCACCTTCATCTTTCTGTCTCCCGGCCCTGCCCCCACCACACACGTGCACACACACACAGGCGTAGACATCCGGCAGCCCAGTCACCCTCGGGCGGCACCTGGCGCTCCCCGTCCGGCAGCGGCCACCATCCCTTCTGTGGGACTCTCACAGCAGGGCTAGGAGGCCCGAGGCAGCTCCCACCTGCGGGCTCAGGGCCACGGGACCCACACAGCAAGTGTGTGTCTCGTCCCCACCTCTGTCCTCCGCTGCCCCGTCCACGGGGCAGCCGGGTTCACCAGTTGCGGGGGTGTGTGTGCCACATGGGCGTTTGGGGGCTGCGCTGGGCTTAAAAGGCCACGGGGGCTCTGAGACTCGGGTGGGGCTGGGCAGACTGGAGGGCGCCAAGCAGGGCACGCGGCAGGCCTCTGGGGCCTGAGCGGTGTGGCAGAGCCGTGTGCCCTCCCGGGCCCCATGCCACCTGTGGCTCATCCCTGCACTGAATCCCTTCTTCTCTCTTCTGCCTGGGGTCCCACCGCTCTCTGTCCCTGGTCCCATATGCTACCGCTAACCTGTCTTCCCTCTTTATTCCTCCTGCTTCTCACTCCCTCCTGGATGCTCCACGCACCCTGTGTCTCCTCTCCTCTGATCCCCCGCCTCCCTCCACACCCTCTGTCCTCCTGGCCCCTGCCTGGGCACCCCCACCCACCCTGCTCCCCTTCCCCACCTGCCAGCTCCTTTCTTTCCCTCCTCCGTTGCCCACCTCTCCCCCCCCCCCCCCCCCC